GCAAGCACAAGGGTCTGAGTTTAATCCCTGATTCCGAAAAAAAAAAAAAAATTATTTATTTGGTACAGGATCTCGCTACACAGCTCAGACTCATAGTGATCCTCCTGTATCAGTCTACCCAGTGCTGGGATTACAAGTGTATGCCACTACAAGTGCCAAAACCCACTTATTTATTGTAAAGTGCCAACACTGCAATTAAACCTAAATCCTGAGGTTTTAGTTTAGAAAAAAGCAATTCATACATTAATGTCTTTTTGTCTTAGAAGAAAGACAAGTAACATGCATGCCACAGGTTCATCACCACTGGCCTAGGGAAACTTCTTGGTCTTGCTCTTGCCTAGAACTACCTCTACTGCTCCATAGTTCATCCACACAGTGAGATACCCCCAAGATCTCCTCTAACACTGACATCAGAATGAGACAAGTATCCAAGGAAGATAAGCACCATATGCTTCTATTTTGCATAGGAATTAAAAATTTCTGGTCCAGGTTACCAAACATTGAGATTATCATCAAAGGGCTGGAGAGATGGTTCAGTAGAATAAGCGCTTCCCTGGCAAGTGCAAAGGCCTGAGTTCAATCCCCGGTTCCAGAAAAAAAAAAAAAAAATTATCATCAAAATGAGAAAAGTAAGAATAATGGAAATGTCTGTTTGGAATACAGAATCTCAGGCTCTCCTCCTCACCCACAGAAGGGGAACCTGCCTTTTACCAAGACTCCCAGGTGTTTAATTTTGTTGTTTTTGTTGTTAAATTTATGTATTTGGTGCAGGGTCTTGCCATGCAGCTCATACTCGTAGTGGTCCTCCTTTTTCAGGATCCCCAGCACTGGGATCACAGGCCTGCACCACCATGCCCGATTTCAGAGGCCAGCACTAGGCACCTGGGGTTCTGGGGCTGGCACGGCATGTGGTACCAGGGATCAAACTAGGTCTTTTTGCTTGCCAGGCAGGCGCTTAGACTGCTAATGTAGCTCCCCAGCCCTCCCAGTGTTTCTTATTTATGCAGCAGAGAATGGCATTGAAGGTGGGGAGGAATAACATCAAATTTGCATTGTGTGTGTGTGTGTGTGTGTGTGTG